AGAGTAATGTCACTGTCAGACTGTAGTAAGAGTACTGTCACTGTGGGACTGTAGAAAGAGTACTGTCACTGTCAGACTGTAGTAAGAGTACTGTCAGTGTCAGACTGTAGTAAGCGTACTGTCAGACTGTAGTAAGAGTACTGTCACTGTCAGACTGTAGTAAGAGTACTGTCACTGTCAGACTGTAGTAAGCCTACTGTCAGACTGTAGAAAGAGTACTGTCACTGTGGGACTGTAGAAAGAGTACTGTCACTGTCAGACAGTAGTAAGAGTACTGTCACTGTCAGACCGTAGTAAGAGTACTGTCACTGTCAGACTGTAGTAAGAGTAATGTCACTGTCAGACTGTGGTAAGAGTATTGTCAGACTGTAGTAAGAGTACTGTCACTGTCAGACTGTAGTAAGAGTACTGTCACTGTCAGACTGTAGTAAGAGTACTGTCACTGTCAGACTGTAGTAAGCGTACTGTCAGACTGTAGTAAGAGTACTGTCACTGTCAGACTGTAGTAAGAGTACTGTCACTGTCAGACTGTAGTAAGAGTACTGTCACTGTCAGACTGTTGTAAGAGTATTGTCAGACTGTAGTAAGAGTAATGTCACTGTCAGACTGTAGTAAGAGTACTGTCACTGTCGGACTGTAGTAAGAGTACTGTCCCTGTCAGACTGTAGTAAGAGTACTGTCACTGTCAGACTGTAGTAAGAGTACTGTCACTGTCAGACTGTAGTAAGAGTACTGTCACTGTCAGACTGTAGTGAGAGTACTGTCAGACTGTAGTAAGAGTACTGTCAGACTGTAGTAAGAGTACTGTCACTGTCAGACTGTAGTGAGAGTACTGTCAGACTGTAGTAAGAGTACTGTCACTGTCAGACTGTAGTAAGAGTACTGTTTCTTTACCCACAATATTAAATGTAAATTAATATTAAATAACACAGTAATGAGACCAGTCGGTTGTTTTTAAAGAGATTTATTGAAAGATTTTTTCTTGAAATTGTAGAAAGTTCACCCACTGATAATGTGATGTCACACGTCAGACTGATAATGTGATGTCACACGTCAGACTGATAATGTGATGTCACACGTCAGACTGATAATGTGATGTCACACGTCAGACTGATAATGTGATGTCACACGTCAGACTGATAATGTGATGTCACACGTCAGACTGATAATGTGATGTCACACGTCAGACTCTGGATCCGTCTTTCATTTGATTTGAATGAGAATCACGAACTTATTCAGAAAAGTGTCACAGGACTTTCCAGTGTTCTGCAGCGGGGCCGGACTTAAGTCCACTGGACCCGAACCAGACCAAACCGGTCCTGGCCAGCAATACACAGTCTCACATCTGTGTGTGTGCGTGAATTGGATTATACTGTATTTTCAGGCAATACATTTCACAAATTCAGATTCAGTGTATTTGCATTTGCAGTAAAACCACATTGGAAAAACTGTGCGAGAGGCCTCCAGTGTCGCATAAGTAACTGTCTGACTGTAGTGTAGCATTAGTAACTGTTCAACTGTAGTGTGTAACCGTACGACTGTGTTGTGTATCGCTGGCCACACACTTGTTTGTTTTAAGTCAAACCAAAATCTCTCACTACCCACTACATCTGCAGCTACCCTCTACACCAGCCTCTGTGAGCTAGAGACGCCGTCATTTAAATATTAATATATATATTTATAAATAGCTCCCGTTAGGAAGAGTTCAGTGTTTTCACTCGACACGCAGTTGCAAGCATACAGCAGCAGAAGGCGCTGCCCCCAGAACCACCGGCTCTCAGTGCAGCATGCAGGTACAGATGTGTTTGAAAAGTCTCCGGGAACTCCACCACCGGGAGCCAAGTGGAGGAGAGAGGGAGCAGAGACTGAGCCAAGTGGAGGAGAGAGGGAGCAGAGACTGAGCCAAGATGGAGGAGAGAGGGGATAGAGACAGAGCCAAGATGGAGGAGAGAGGGGGCAGAGACTGAGCCAAGTGGAGGAGAGACTGAGCCAAGATGGAGGAGAGAGGGGCAGAGACTGAGCCAAGATGGAGGAGAGAGGGGGCAGAGACTGAGCCAAGTGGAGGAGAGAGGGGGCAGAGACTGAGCCAAGATGGAGGAGAGAGGGGATAGAGACAGAGCCAAGATGGAGGAGAGAGGGGGCAGAGACTGAGCCAAGTGGAGGAGAGAGGGAGCAGAGACTGAGCCAAGATGGAGGAGAGAGGGGATAGAGACAGAGCCAAGATGGAGGAGAGAGGGGCAGAGACTGAGCCAAGATGGAGGAGAGAGGGGATAGAGACAGAGCCAAGATGGAGGAGAGAGGGGCAGAGACTGAGCCAAGATGGAGGAGAGAGGGGCAGAGACTGAGCCAAGATGGAGGAGAGAGGGGCAGAGACTGAGCCAAGATGGAGGAGAGAGGGGGCAGAGACTGAGCCAAGATGGAGGAGATGTCACTCCTGTATTCGTCCCGGAAACCGGATTCGTCCGGAAGTTCAGTTTGATCCAATGAGCATATGCAGCAGTAGATTACGTCACGGAATCTGGACGGAAGCGGAAGTAAATATAAAAAACTACCTATTCATGCCTAAACTTAACCAGCCATTCCCATAAAATAACCCCAACCAAGCTTCAACCCTAAACTTAACCATCTTAATCAGACGCCTAAACTTAACCAGTCACCACTTAAGGACATATTAAACTTTTTGACATGCGCAAACTGAACTTCCGGACGAATCCGGTTTCCGGGACGAATACGGGAGTGACAGGAGAGAGGGGCAGAGACTGAGCCAAGATGGAGGAGAGAGGGGCAGAGACTGAGCCAAGATGGAGGAGAGAGGGGCAGAGACTGAGCCAAGATGGAGGAGAGAGGGGCAGAGACTGAGCCAAGATGGAGGAGAGAGGGGCAGAGACTGAGCCAAGATGGAGGAGAGAGGGGCAGAGACTGAGCCAAGATGGAGGAGAGAGGGGCAGAGACTGAGCCAAGATGGAGGAGAGAGGGGGCAGAGACTGAGCCAAGATGGAGGAGAGAGGGGCAGAGACTGAGCCAAGATGGAGGAGAGAGGGGCAGAGACTGAGCCAAGATGGAGGAGAGAGGGGCAGAGACTGAGCCAAGATGGAGGAGAGAGGGGGCAGAGACTGAGCCAAGATGGAGGAGAGAGGGGCAGAGACTGAGCCAAGATGGAGGAGAGAGGGGCAGAGACTGAGCCAAGATGGAGGAGAGAGGGGCAGAGACTGAGCCAAGATGGAGGAGAGAGGGGGCAGAGACTGAGCCAAGATGGAGGAGAGAGGGGCAGAGACTGAGCCAAGATGGAGGAGAGAGGGGGGCAGAGACTGACAGCCAAGATGGAAGGCCAACTGTTGCCCATGTTTCAATCCCCTCTATGGCTTTATTATTGCAAACATTAAACTAAACAAGTACAGTTTCTTCTATCACTAGTTCTGCATTTGTCTGACTCTGTGTCTTTGGATATGCAGAGACAGAGAGAGAAGACCAGAGAGAGACCAGAGAGAGAGAGACCAGAGAGAGAGACCAGAGAGAGAGAGAACAGAGAGAGACCAGAGAGAGAGAGAACCAGAGAGACAGACCAGAGAGAGAGAGACCAGAGAGAGAGACCAGAGAGAGAGACCAGAGAGAGAGACCAGAGAGACGACCAGAGAGAGAGACCAGAGAGAGACCAGAGAGAGAGACCAGAGAGAGAGACCAGAGAGAGAGAGACCAGAGAGAGACAGAGAGACAGAAGAGAGAGACCAGAGAGAGAGAGACCAGAGAGAGAGACCAGAGAGAGACTAGAGAGAGAGACCAGACAGAGACCAGAGAGAGAGACCAGAGAGAGGCCAGAGAGAGACCAGAGAGATACCAGAGAAAGAGACCAGAGAGAGACCAGAGAGAGACAGAGAGAGCAGAGAGAGAGACCAGAGAGAGAGACCAGAGAGAGACAGAGAGACCAGAGAGAGACCAGAGAGAGACCAGAGAGAGACCAGAGAGAGAGACCAGAGAGAGAGACCAGAGAGAGAGAGAGAGAGAGAGAGAGAGAGCAGAGAGAGACCAGAGAGAGAGACCAGAGAGAGAGACCAGAGAGAGACCAGAGAGAGACCAGAGAGAGACCAGAGAGAGACCAGAGAGAGACCAGGGAGAGACCGGAGAGAACAGAGACCAGATAATCACTTGTTAAACACGATCAAATGGCTTGTATTATACATTATAACAGGGATAACCATAGACACATTTTCAGCGACGTCTCGGCCCCTGCTCTCTCTCTCTCTCGCTCTTTCCCATGTCTCGTCTCGGTCCAACACGAGAGTAGACTTTTCCATCTATGATTTCCTGTATAGTTTTCTGCATTTCAAAGCATGCTAAAGACTGCATAGTGCTGGCTATACGATGCCAAAGAAGTCTCCGATCCTTACGGCAGGACAAAGGGAAGTGTGTATGTACAGGGAGAGGAGAGACAGGCCGCGGACCCAGGGTTGAGAAGCACAAACCAAAATATCTACACATCCAAATGAAACGGCAAGAAAGAGACACAAGGGACACAGCCACAGGAAGCAGACGTTGTTTTGACACGACTTTTATGTCACGCAAGTTTCACTGGTTGTTTCTGGTTGATTTTCCTGAAAACCAAATGTAACCATAAAACTTCTAATAATGCGTTGGGTTAAATTACATGTGGTGCTTTTCCTGAGAAAATAGACACGCCTTAGTCGCCAACTGTGTGAGGAGCCACTTCCTACTATCTCTGGATTTTATTATTTTAAACGTGAGACAAAAGTACGGGCTGCGAGCATGAGGGGAATCCTTCGTGATTCTGAGACTCAAGAAGAAGAGAGAGCTTTAGTTATGCTAAAGCTAACGCACTAGCATCCGGCTTTCTTTTCAATACTTCTAGAAATCCCATTTTTAGTGAGTTTTGCAGCAAAGTGCAGTTTGTGTCTGTAGAACTCAGCCAAAGCTGCATTCTGATTGGACGAGCTTCAGCCTAAAGGAACTGTTGTAAAGACGAGAAGGCGTTTGGACGTAAAAACATGAATGGAGAGAGCGACTTCCATCGTCTGCTGTGTCTGTGGTGTCTCTCTCTCGCCGTCTCTTTCCTGGAGTCACCAAAGACCAGTGTGGCGCAGACACAAGGGTTGGGGGTCACTTGCTTTGGTTGCGTAAAGTGCGTGATGGCCCTAGTCCTAAGCAGATACAGACAACACAGAAGGCCCCAGGGCAGGTGCGACCAGTGTGGGCAGGAGCGCTGACACAGGGAACACAGAGAGGAAGAGGAAACAGAGAGAGAGAGAGAGTCTGAGAGGGGAGAGAGAGAGAGTCTGAGAGGGGAGAGAGAGAGAGTCTGAGAGGAGAGAGAAAGATTCTGAGAGGGGAGAGAGTCTGAGAGGGGAGAAAGAGAGTCTGAGAGGGGAGAGAGTCTGAGAGGGGAGAAAGAGAGTCTGAGAGGAGAGAGAGAGATTCTGAGAGGGGAGAGAGAGAGAGTATGAGAGGGAAGAGAGAGTCTGAGAGGGGAGAGTCTGAGAGGGAAGAGAGAGTCTGAGAGGGGAGAGTCTGAGAGGGAAGAGAGAGTCTGAGAGGGAAGAGAGAGTCTGAGAGGGAAGAGAGAGAGTCTGAGAGAGGGAGAGAGATTCTGAGAGGGGAGAGAGAGAGAGTATGAGAGGGAAGAGAGAGTCTGAGAGGGAAGAGAGAGAGAGCGTATGAGGGGAGAGAGAGAGTCTGAGAGAGAGAGAGTCTGAGAGGGGAGAAAGAGAGTCTGAGAGGGGAGAGAGTCTGAGAGGGGAGAAAGAGAGTCTGAGAGGGGAGAGAGAGATTCTGAGAGGGGAGAGAGAGAGAGAGTATGAGAGGGAAGAGAGAGTCTGAGAGGGGAGAGTCTGAGAGGGAAGAGAGAGAGTCTGAGAGGGAAGAGAGAGAGTCTGAGAGGGGAGAGAGAGAGTCTGAGAGGGGAGAGAGAGATTCTGAGAGGGGAGAGAGAGAGAGTATGAGAGGGAAGAGAGAGTCTGAGAGGGGAGAGTCTGAGAGGGAAGAGAGAGAGTCTGAGAGGGAAGAGAGAGAGTCTGAGAGGGGAGAGAGAGAGTCTGAGAGGGGAGAGAGAGAGAGTCTGAGAGGGGAGAGAGAGAGAGTCTGAGAGGGGAGAGAGAGTGAGAGTCTGAGATGGGCGAGAGAGAGTCTGAGAGAGGGAGAGAGAGAGAGTCCGAGAGGGGAGAGAGAGAGAGTGAGAGTCTGAGAGGGAAGAGAGAGAGTCTGAGAGGGGAGAGAGAGAGAGTCCGAGAGGGGAGAGAGAGAGAGTGAGAGTCTGAGAGGGAAGAGAGAGAGTCTGAGAGGGGAGAGAGAGAGAGTCTGAGAGGGGAGAGAGAGAGAGAGTCTGAGAGGGGAGAGAGAGAGAGTCGAGAGGGGAGAGAGTGAGAGGGAGAGAGAGAGGTCTGAGAGGGGAGAGAGAGTGAGAGTCTGAGAGGGGAGAGAGACAGATCTGAGAGGGGAGAGAGAGTGAGAGTCTGAGGGGAGAGAGAGAGAGTCTGAGAGGGGAGAGAGAGTGAGAGTCTGAGAGAGGGAGAGAGAGAGAGTCTGAGAGGGGAGAGAGAGTGAGAGTCTGAGAGGGGAGAGAGACAGAGTCTGAGAGGGGAGAGAGAGTGAGAGTCTGAGAGGGGAGAGAGAGAGAGAGTCTGCGAGGAGAGAGATAAACTTGGGCAGAGGCAGAGACCACAGATCCTGAGACGTTCCACTTCTCTGTGGTCTCTACGTCTCTCTCTTCAGAGACTGTCAGATCTGTTTCTCCCACACTGATCACATGCACCAGGAATAAACCAGCAATAAATACAGACACAGTCACAAACATACAGGTCAAATATGGTTCTACAGAGAACAGCTCGCACCAGCAGGGGGCAGCATACAATCACGGCAGGTCTTTGTTAAAGGGGACGTCTGTGGTGGATCTGCACCGGACCTGAGTCTCACACAGGACCATAAAGTGCAGGTAAAGCTGCTACAACGTCTCTGTAAAGGACTATTGCACTGGGACAGGGAAGACCACCTCAGAGGTCAGAGGTCCACATGGTCCTCAAGCTCCACATGTAAGCCTCAGGGAAGACAGGGGTCAGAGGTCAGAGGTCCACACTGTCCTGACCTCAGGGCTCTGCTGCAGAAGGAGACGGCTCCTCACACTCTTCAGGAGGAGAAGGTCAGGATAAAAACATGTCTGTGATGTCACACGTCTGTGAGCCCTGTGATGTCACATGTGTGTGTGCTCTGTGATGTCACATGACTCTGTTATCACATTGTGCTCATTTCAAGGACACATAAAATGCAGCCAGTGCTTTAAACCATTGTGTACTAAAACTAATCTATCAACAGTCTCCAACACACGGGATCTCAGTAGATAACGAGATCTCAGTAGATAACGAGATCTCAGTAGATAACGGGATCTCAGTAGATAACGAGATCTCAGCAGATAACGAGATCTCAGCAGATAACGAGATCTCAGCAGATAACGAGATCTCAGCAGATAACGAGATCTCAGTAGATAACGAGATCTCAGTAGATAACGAGATCTCAGCAGATAACGAGATCTCAGCAGATAACGAGATCTCAGTAGATAACGGGATCTCAGCAGATAACGAGATCTCAGCAGATAACGAGATCTCAGTAGATAACGGGATCTCAGTAGATAACGGGATCTCAGTAGATAACGAGATCTCAGCAGATAACGAGATCTCAGCAGATAACGAGATCTCAGCAGATAACGAGATCTCAGCAGATAACGGGATCTCAGTAGATAACGAGATCTCAGTAGATAACGGGATCTCAGTAGATAACGAGATCTCAGCAGATAACGAGATCTCAGCAGATAACGAGATCTCATCAGATAACGAGATCTCAGCAGATAACGGGATCTCAGTAGATAACGAGATCTCAGCAGATAACGAGATCTCAGCAGATAAAGAGATCTCAGCAGATAACGAGATCTCAGCAGATAACGAGATCTCAGTAGATAACGGGATCTCAGTAGATAACGAGATCTCAGTAGATAACGGGATCTCAGCAGATAACGAGATCTCAGCAGATAACGAGATCTCAGTAGATAACGAGATCTCAGTAGATAACGAGATCTCAGTAGATAACGAGATCTCAGCAGATAACGGGATCTCAGTAGATAACGGGATCTCAGTAGATAACGAGATCTCAGTAGATAACGAGATCTCAGCAGATAACGAGATCTCAGTAGATAACGGGATCTCAGCAGATTACGAGATCTCAGTAGATAACGAGATCTACTGAAGGACAGACAGTGCACTGTGGGGTCCTGCTTCAGTCCTACATCTTAAAGGGTCTAAGTTAAAGGTGATTTTAGTTAAAGGTGATTTTAGTTAAAGGTGATTTTAGTTAAAGGTGATTTTAGTTAAAGGTGATTTTAGTTAAAGGTGATTTTAGTTAAAGGTGATTTTAAAGGGAGGTTCCAGTTTGTGCAGAGGATGTGAACACAGAGGTCTGCTCTGAACTGACTAACTCTCCTCCAAACAACGGACGAACGAGTGCACGAGTCTGAGGTAGTCCAAGAACAAAGAGACCCTTTCAGCAGGGATGGACCAGAGACTGGGTCCAGGTCCAGAGACCAGAGGCTGGGTCCAGGAGATTGAGACCAGCTGTTGTGCTGTAGATGGACCTTTGGGTCTGGATGGGACTCATGGGCCTCAGCTTCAGTCCAGTTTATCAGCTTCATGTTTGGACCAGAACCAGCGGCCGTGTGGACTTCAATATTTTTATGGCTTCTCAAGTTGTGCAACTCAACCATTTGTTATGACTTATGGTTATCCAAACGAGATCTCTGTTCTGTAACACGTCCAGCTGAAACTCACAGCTCAAGACTTTTCACCGAGACTTTGTTGAGTAGAAAGTTTGTCAGTTTAGTTTACTGTGGCCCTGGCCCCGACTGCGGCCCCGGCTGCGGCCCTAAGCACAGATGTCCAGTCCCCTTCAGGACTGTAAAGCTGTGATGTGTTCATTGAGAATATTCATGGCTTCTGTGGCTCCAGTGTGAGGGACTGACCAGGGACTGACCAGGGACTGACCAGGGACTGACCAGGGACTGACCAGGGACTGAACAGGGACTGACCAAGGACTGACCAAGGACTGACCAAGGACTGAACAGGGACTGACCAAGGACTGACCAAGGACTGAACAGGGACTGACCAAGGACTGACCAAGGACTGACCAGGGACTGGTCTCCTGTTAGGCCAGCTAACACAGTGAAAACACAGTGCTAACACAGCGCTAACACAGTGCTAACACAGTGAAAACACAGCGCTAACACAGCGCTAACACAGCGCTAACACAGCGCTAACACAGCGCTAACACAGCGCTAACACAGTGCTAACACAGTGCTAACACAAGTGTGTCCTGTAGGGGAAGCGCCGTGGTCGGCACTAGATCATTTACGGAATAGGGACAAAACCGGAAGTAACATTCCTACTTTCAAATTAGTTTTAGACAAATAAGTCCTTAAGTGGTGACTGGTTAAGTTTTAGGCGTCTAATTAAGATGGTTAAGGTGGGTTGGGGTTATTTTATGGGAATGGAAAGTTTGTTGTATTTACTATGTGATATATGATCTAGAGCTGACCAAAGCGCCGTGGACCAGGAGGAAGCAGAACATGAGGAGAGGGTCAGTGCAGGTGGACGAGGCTACAGTCTGTGATCCAGCAGTAAAGGGACACGACTCTTGCAGAGGGTTAGCTCTAGAGCTGCAGAGAGTGGGCTCTAGAGCTGCAGAGAGTGGGCTCTAGGGGCCTCCGGGGTCAGAGCTGTGTCTGTGAGTCCGTGGGTCCCTGGGGTGTGTCTCCTGAAGGGACAGTCTTCTCTCAGTGTCCTGGTCTTGGAGCTCCATGCCTCCACAGCTCTGCTCCCCAGGACAGGGGCCCCTCTGCAGCTCTGAGGGAGGGCTGCTCCTCACCGGGGCCTCTGGTGGTCCGGAGGGGAACTGCTCCAAGTCCTGCGTCTTCAGGATCTGCATAAAATACAACAACAAAGTCATAACAATAGACTTAAAAGTGTGTGTATATATCTGTGGCTGTGTCTGTGTGTGTCTGTGTGTGTGTCTATGGCTGTGCCTGTGTGTGTCTATGTGTGTGTGTGTGTGTGTGTCTCTGTGTGTGTGTGTGTATCTGTGTGTGTGTCTCTGTGTGTGTCTACAGTATGTGTGTGTGTGTGCCTGTGTCTGACCTGTGCCAGTGAGGAGATATGGTCTGTGTCCAGAGGGTGCGCTGTCCTGTCCCCTAGGTACAGAGAAACCTGTGAAGAAAACACAAACACTGAACGACAGAATCTCACCCTCACAGACCCTCACTGACCCTCACCCTCACAGACCCTCCCCCTCACTGACCCTCACCCTCACTGACCCTCCCCCTCACTGACCCTCCCCCTCACTGACCCTCACCCTCACAGACCCTCCCCCTCACTGACCCTCCCCCTCACTGACCCTCACCCTCACAGACCCTCCCCCTCACTGACCCTCCCCCTCACTGACCCTCACCCTCACAGACCCTCACCCTCACAGACCCTCCCCCTCACTGACCCTCCCCCTCACTGACCCTCACCCTCACAGACCCTCCCCCTCACAGACCCTCCCCCTCACTGACCCTCACCCTCACAGACCCTCACTGACCCTCCCCCTCACAGACCCTCACCCTCACTGACCCTCACCCTCACAGACCCTCCCCCTCACTGACCCTCCCCCTCACTGACCCTCACCCTCACAGACCCTCCCCCTCACAGACCCTCCCCCTCACTGACCCTCACCCTCACAGACCCTCACTGACCCTCCCCCTCACAGACCCTCACCCTCACTGACCCTCACCCTCACAGACCCTCCCCCTCACTGACCCTCACCCTCACAGACCCTCACCCTCACAGACCCTCACTGACCCTCCCCCTCACAGACCCTCACCCTCACTGACCCTCACCCTCACAGACCCTCCCCCTCACTGACCCTCACCCTCACAGACCCTCCCCCTCACTGACCCTCACCCTCACAGACCCTCCCCCTCACTGACCCTCACCCTCACAGACCCTCACCCTCACAGACCCTCCCCCTCACAGACCCTCACCCTCACTGACCCTCACCCTCACAGACCCTCCCCCTCACTGACCCTCCCCCTCACTGACCCTCACCCTCACAGACCCTCCCCCTCACTGACCCTCACCCTCACAGACCCTCACTGACCCTCCCCCTCACAGACCCTCACCCTCACAGACCCTCCCCCTCACTGACCCTCACCCTCACAGACCCTCACCCTCACAGACCCTCACTGACCCTCCCCCTCACTGACCCTCACCCTCACAGACCCTCACCCTCACAGACCCTCACTGACCCTCCCCCTCACAGACCCTCCCCCTCACTGACCCTCACCCTCACAGACCCTCACCCTCACTGACCCTCACCCTCACAGACCCTCCCCTCACAGACCCTCACAGACCCTCCCCCTCACTGACCCTCACCCTCACAGACCCTCACTGACCCTCCCCCTCACAGACCCTCACCCTCACTGACCCTCACCCTCACAGACCCTCCCCCTCACTGACCCTCACCCTCACAGACCCTCACCCTCACAGACCCTCACTGACCCTCCCCCTCACTGACCCTCACCCTCACAGACCCTCACCCTCACAGACCCTCACTGACCCTCCCCCTCACTGACCCTCCCCCTCACAGACCCTCACCCTCACTGACCCTCACCCTCACTGACCCTCACCCTCACAGACCCTCCCCCTCACTGACCCTCACCCTCACAGACCCTCACCCTCACAGACCCTCACTGACCCTCCCCCTCACTGACCCTCACCCTCACAGACCCTCACCCTCACAGACCCTCACTGACCCTCACCCTCACAGACCCTCCCCCTCACTGACCCTCACCCTCACAGACCCTCACCCTCACAGACCCTCACTGACCCTCCCCCTCACAGACCCTCACCCTCACTGACCCTCACCCTCACAGACCCTCCCCCTCACTGACCCTCACCCTCACAGACCCTCCCCCTCACACACACACACCCTCACTGACCCTCACCCTCACAGACCCTCCCCCTCACCCTCACAGACCCTCACAGACCCTCACCCTCACAGACCCTCCCCCTCACCCTCACAGACCCTCACTGACCCTCCCCCTCACAGACCCTCACAGACCCTCACCCTCACAGACCCTCACTGACCCTCTCACCCACACACACCCTCACTGACCCTCACACACCCTCACACACACCCTCACTGACCCTCACCCTCACAGACCCTCCCCCTCACCCACACAGACCCTCACTGACCCTCCCCCTCACTGACCCTCCCCCTCACTGACCCTCCCCCTCACAGACCCTCACTGACCCTCCCCCTCACAGACCCTCACAGACCCTCCCCCTCACTGACCCTCACCCTCACAGACCCTCACTGACCCTCACCCAAACAGACCCTCACCCTCACAGACCCTCACCCTCACAGACCCTCACCCTCGCAGACCCTCACCCTCACAGACCCTCACCCTCACTGACCCTCACCCACACAGACCCTCACCCTCACAGACCCTCACCCTCACAGACCCTCACCCTCACAGACCCTCACCCTCACAGACCCTCACCCTCACTGACCCTCACTGACCCTCCCCCTCACTGACCCTCCCCCTCACAGACCCTCAGTGACCCTCCCCCTCACAGACCCTCACCCTCATAGACCCTCACTGACCCTCCCCCTTTTACCTGCGGGGGTGAGGACACGGCGCTGTAGGCCGGTGGCACCAGAGCCATCTGTCTTTGCAGCAACTGCAGGATGGACCCGACATCTGCAGACATACGACTCTCCAACCTGAACACACACACAGAGACACACACAGAGACACAGACAGACACACACAGAAACACACACACACACACACACAGAGACACACACACACACACACACAGAGACACACACACACACACACACACACAGACATACAGAGACACACAGAAACACACACACACACACAGAGACACACACACACACACACACACAGACATACAGAGACACACACAATCACTAGAGTAAGCCAAGTCTTATACTGAGTGTATAGGACACTACATCAGAATCATTTTTATTGCCACGTAAGTAACAGGAGTCACAGACTTGAAATTGCTTTGGCTCAGTGCAACAGTCAGAAAGAGAGGAAAGGGTAGAGAGGCATAATAAAAAAAAAACACTTCTAAGGAATACATTTAATTAAAAAAAAAAAAAATAGAGTTACAGTTACTATTTACAATATCCAAGTGCACATGGTGCACACAGTGTAAGGTGACAGCAGTACAGTGAAGTAAAGTGACGTATGATGGGCAGTAAAGTGACTTTATAAAGGGCGGGGGGACAGGTTAAGAAGTGTTCAAGAGTCCAACAGCAGAGGGGAAGAAACTGTTCTTGTGGCGGGAGGTTCTAGTCCTGATGGACCGCAGCCTCCTGCCTGAGGGGAGTGGTTGGAATAGTCCATGTGCAGGTGAGAGGGGAGTGGTTGGAATAGTCCATGTGCAGGTGAGAGGGGAGTGGTTGGAATAGTCCATGTGCAGGGTGAGAGGGGAGTGGTTGGAATAGTCCATGTGCAGGTGAGAGGGGAGTGGTTGGAATAGTCCATGTGCAGGGTGAGAGGGGAGTGGTTGGAATAGTCCATGTGCAGGGTGAGAGGGGAGTGGTTGGAATAGTCCATGTGCAGGTGAGAGGGGAGTGGTTGGAATAGTCCATGTGCAGGTGAGAGGGGAGTGGTTGGAATAGTCCATGTGCAGGTGAGAGGGGTCGGCTGTGATACGACCAGCCCGGCCTCGAGCTCGGGCGACGTACAGGTCCTGCAGCGATGGAAGGCTGCGGCCGATCACTTCCTCTGCAGAGCGCACAATGCGCTGTAGTCTCTGTTTGTCCCTGACTGTGGCTCCAGCGAACCACACGGTGATAGGCCATAGGCATATACCTGTGACTATGGCCTTATACTCTGCTAGTTTTGGCTCCGCCCCCTGTCTGTACTGGTGTGTATGTGAGTGTGTATGTGAGTGTGTGTGTGTGTGTGTGTGTGTGTGTGTGTATGTGTGTGTGTATTGTGACTTAGTACCAGTTGTGATGCCTCAGAACCAGGTGTGTTGCCTCAGTACCAGGTGTGTTGCCTCATTACCATGTGTGTTGCCTCATTACCATGTGTGTTTCCTCAGTACCTGTTGAGTTGTTTCTGCAGCAGGTCCAGTCGTGAGTCCAGCTGGTTCCTCTGGTGTCGGCTGAGGCTGTGCACGGGGGTGAGGAGGGGAGGAGGGGTGAGGAGCGGGGGAGGGGGGGAGGCCAGGCTACAGCTGGGCACCTCCTGGTACTGTCCCCCTCCTCCCCCTCCTCCCCTACTCTCCCCCCAGAAGCTGAACATGTTGGACACTCCCGAGAAGGCTCCTGCGAGGAGACAAACACAGCCTCAGGTCTCAGGCTGTCTCAGGCTGACCTAGAGAGCTGTAGCTCTCTAGGTCTTAGAGCTACACTAGAGCTACATTAGAGCTATACTAGAGCTACATTAGAGCTACACTAGAGCTACACTAGAGCTACACTAGAGCTACACTAGAGCTACACTAGTGCTACATTAGAGCTACACTAGAGCTACATTAGAGCTATACTAGAGCTACACTAGAGCTACATTAGAGCTACATTAGAGCTACACTAGAGCTACATTAGAGCTACAGTAGAGCTACATTAGAGCTACACTAGAGCTACATTAGAGCAACACTAGCGCTAACATTAGAGCTACATTAGAGCTACATTAGAGCTACATTAGAGCTACACTAGAGCTACACTAGAGCTACATTAGAGCTACACTAGAGCTACATTAGAGCTACATTAGAGCTACATTAGAGCAACACTTTCGCTAACATTAGAGCTACATTAGAGCTACATTAGAGCTACACTAGAGCTACATTAGAGCTACACTAGAGCTACATTAGAGCTACACTAAAGCAACATTAGAGCTACACTAGAGCTACATTAGAGCTACCTTAGAGCTACACTAGAGCTACATTAGAGCTACATTAGAGCTACACTAGAGCTACATTAGAGCTGACTCTCAGGACTGACCCGACAGAGCGGTGCAGGTGTTGCCGGTCTTGGGGCCTCCATCGGGATCACTGCTCAGGGCCCGGACTGAGGCAGGGGCCCCCAGAGCAGTAGGCGGGGCCAGGCTGGTCACCACCGACTCCTCCCCCTGGAGATAACACAGAGAGGTCAGCCACGCCCAGGTCAGGGGAGGGGGGGGGAGGAGAGAAGAGAGGGGAGAGAGGAGAGAAGAGAGGGGAGAGAGAGAAGAGGGGAGAGAGGGGAGAGAGGGGAGAGAGGGGAGAGAGGAGGAGGGTGGACGGGAGAGAGAGAAGAGGGGAGAGAGGAGAGAGGAGAGAGGGGAGACCAGACCCGATTCAGACCTGGTCCAGACCTGGTCCAGACCTGGTCCAGACCTGGTCCAGACCTGGTCCAGACTCACCTCGTCCCCACTGGACTGGGAGGACACAGGGGTGCAGGGGGCCTCCTCTGAGCACAGGGCTTTGGTCGAGTCCCTCTGTCTCCTCCGCACTCTCTGGGACTTTTTAATCTCTCCAGCATCAGCATCATCTGCAGCAACACAGAGGATGAATACACACACACACACACACACACATACACACACTCACAGACACACAGACATACACACACACACACACACATACACACACACAGACACACACACACACAGACACACACACACACACACAGACACACACACACACACACAGACATACACACACACAGACACACACACACACACACACACATACACACACACACACACACACACACAGACACACATACACACACAGACACACACCTTTCTCAGTGCGTCTCCTAAACGACAGTTTGCGTCTCCTGAGTTTGTTGAAACCTCCGCTCTTGGACTCGTCGCTGCTCGGGGAACCAGGAATCATGTTGGTCTGGACCAGGAGAACATTCATACTATAACCACAGGGACCAGCAGAACATGCAAACTATGACCACAGGGATCAGGAGAACATGCAAACTATGACCCACAAGGACCAGGAGAACATGCAAACTATGACACACAAGGACCAGGAGAACGTGCAAACTATGACACACAGGGACCAGCAGAACATGCAAACTATGAAACACAAGGACCAGGAGAACATGCAAACTATGACACACAAGGACCACGAGAACATGCAAACTATGACCATAAGGATCAGGAGAACATGCAAACTCTGAGCACAGGGATCAGGAGAACATGCAAACTATGACACACAAGGACCACGAGAACATGCAAACTATGACCATAAGGATCAGGAGAACATGCAAACTCTGAGCACAGGGATCAGGAGAACATGCAAACTCTGAGCACAGGGATGAGGAGAACATGCAAACTCTGAGCACAGGGATGAGGAGAACATGCAAACTCTGAGCACAGGGATGAGGAGAACATGCACACTCTGAGCACAGGGATGAGGAGAACATGCAAACGCACGTCTCGCAGGTTAAAGGTGATCTCCAGGTTGGTCCAGAAGGCGGCGCTGAACTCCGGGTACATGTCCAGGACCTCCATGATGTCCTCTCTCAGGATCTTGTGCAGGTCGCAGTAGGTCAGGGCCCTCACGTCGGCGTTGGACTTCCCCGGCCGAGAGTACAGGTTTATGGGCTCTCCGAAGATATCGTTCTTACCTGTGGAGGAGAGCGAGACCAGGTGAGGAACAGGGGAGGAACAGGGGAGGAATTTGGGAGGGCCAGGGGAGGACCAGGGCAATGACCAGGTAGGACCAGGGGATAGACCAGGACAAAGACCGGGTCAGGACCAGGACAAAAATCTGCTAAATTTCAGAAACATTTTTCCCATTTTTAATGATTTCCCGTGACCCTTTATAGTGTCCTATCTCTGGTTCCTCTCTCTCTGGTTCCTCTCTCTCTGGTTCCTCTCTCTGGTTCCTCTCTCTCTGGTTCCTCTCTCTGGTCCTTTTTCCTCTTTCTGGTTCCTCTCTCTGGGACCTCTCTCTCTGGTTCCTCTCTCTTGTCCTTTCTCCTCTTTCTGGTTCAACTGTCTGGTTCTTCTCTCTCTGGTTCCTCTCTCTGGTCCTTTTTCCTCTTTCTGGTTCCTCTCTCTGGGACCTCTCTCTCTGGTTCCTCTCTCTGGTCCTTTCTCCTCTCTCTGGTTCCTCTCTCTCACCCAGGATGGCCACCACCACGTCCCCTCGCAGGATCTCGATGGAGCCCCTGGAGATGAAGTAGATGGCGGTGAGGACGTCCCCGGCGTGGACCAGCGTGTCCCCGGGCGGGGCGTGGGTGGTCTTGAACTTCATGGCCAGCGCTCGCAGACAGCCCTTTGTGGACCCTTTAAAGGCCTTACAGTTCTGCAGCAGAGTGCGGTTCAGGTGCAGGCAGATGTCGGCCTGCAGGCACTCAGGGAACCCTTTGAGGACCTGAGAGAGAGACCAGGGCGTTAGTGACCAGAGAGAGACCAGAAAGGGACCAGAGAGGGACCAGAGAGAGACCAGAGAGAGACCAGAGAGGGACCAGAGAGGGACCAGAGAGGGACCAGAGAGAGACCAGAGAGGGATCAGAGAGAGACCAGAGAGAGACCAGGGCGTTAGTGACCAGAGAGGGACCAGAGAGAGACCAGAGAGAGACCAGAGACAGAGACCAGAGAGGGACCAGAGAGACCCGAGAGAGACCAGAGAGGGACCAGAGAGGGACCAGAGAGAGACCAGAGAGGGATCAGAGAGGGACCAGAGAGAGACCAGAGAGAGACCAGAGACAGAGACCAGAGAGGGACCAGAGAGACCCGAGAGAGACCAGAGAGGGACCAGAGAGAGACCAGAGAGAGACCCGAGAGGGACCAGAGAGAGACCAGAGAGAGACCAGAGAGGGATCAGAGAGGGACCAGAGAGAGACCACAGAGGGATCAGAGAGGGACCAGAGAGAGACCAGAGAGGGACCAGAGACAGAGACCAGAGAGGGACCAGAGAGACCCGAGAGAGACCAGAGAGGGACCAGAGAGAGACCCGAGAGAGACCAGAGAGGGACCAGAGAGAGACCAGAGAGAGACCAGAGAGGGACCAGAGAGGGACCAGAGAGAGACCACAGAGGGATCAGAGAGGGACCAGAGAGAAACCAGAGAGAGACCAGAGACAGAGACCAGAGAGGGACCAGAGAGACCCGAGAGAGACCAGAGAGGGACCAGAGAGAGACCCGAGAGAGACCAGAGAGAGACCCGAGAGAGACCAGACAGAGACCAGATAGAGGCAAGAGAGAGAGACCAGAGAGAGACCAGAGATAGGCCAGAGAGAGACCAGAGAGAGACCAGAGAGAGACCAGAGAGAGACCAGAGAGGGATCAGAGAGGGATCAGAGAGGGACCAGAGAGAGACCAGAGAGAGACCAGAGACAGACACCAGAGAGGGACCAGAGAGACCCGAGAGAGACCAGAGAGGGACCAGAGAGAGACCCGAGAGGGACCAGTGAGAGACCAGAGAGAGGCCAGAGAGAGACCAGAGATGAAAGGAGGAAGAACCTTTTACATTATTATCTAGTTCAGTTTGGCCTCAAACAGGATGTGTGTAGAAGTTTCAGAAATAGCATTTATGGTGCACAGTGGAAGAAGAGGATATGGGGCAGTGAGACACCTCCATCTAGTGGCAGAAGCAGGATAAGGCATTCTGATGTTTTTGAAAACGTCGAACATGGCACGATGTAATTGACACAAATGACAAACATGAGGAATTTGAGATGTGAATTTCAGTGTGTGGTGATTTATGTTATTGTGAGAATCTGGTCCGATCCTTTCTACACATGGTTCCAGTCCGCACCAAGAGACATCGCTGGTCATTCATTCACATGGTTTACACAGGCAGAGTGTCAGACTGTAGAAGGAGTCCTGTTGGAGGTTCATGGCCTGAGAGAGGAGCACACAGAAGCAGAGGGCATTGTGCTGTAGAAACATATACACATCTGTACCATCGTTCAGGTACATCTGGTGAACGTGGTTTATGGTTGGAGCAAAGGTTAATATGAATGTCCAATGTCAGGATGGTCATGGTTGGAAAAAGATTTTAATGGATTTATATGGTCACGAACGGTCAGAGGTTTAACAGAGACCAGAGAGAGACCAGAGAGAGAGACCAGAGAGAGACCAGAGAGAGAGACCAGAGAAAGACCCGAGGGAGCCCAGGGAGAGACCAGAGAGAGAGACCAGAGAGACCAGAGAGAGACCAGAGAGAGAGACCAGAGAGAGAGACCAGAGAGAGACCAGAGAGAGAGACCCGAGGGAGACAAGAGAGAGACCAGAGAGAGACCAGAGAGAGAGACCAGAGAAAGACCCGAGGGAGCCCAGGGAGAGACGAGAGAGAGAGACCAGAGAGAGACCAGAGAGAGAGACCAGAGAGAGACCAGAGAGAGACCAGAGAGAGAGACCCGAGGGAGACCAGAGAGAGACCAGAGAGAGACCAGAGAGAGAGACCAGAGAAAGACCCGAGGGAGCCTAGGGAGAGACCAGAGAGAGAGACTAGAGAGAGAGAGACCAGAGAGAGACCAGAGAGAGACCAGAGAGAGACCAGAGAGAGACTAGAGAGAGACCAGACAGAGACCAGAGAGAGACCAGAGAGAGACTAGAGAGAGACCAGACAGAGACCAGAGAGAGAGACCAGAGAGAGACCAGAGAGAGACCAGAGAGAGACTAGAGAGAGACCAGACAGAGACCAGAGAGAGACCAGAGAAAGACAAGAGATATACCAGAAAAAAATAAGAGAGCGAGAGAGAGAAACCAGAGAGAGAGCAAACTGTTCTGAGAGTGAGGAACTAGTGGCATGGATTTTATTATTTTAGATCCACAGCTTTAAGTGAAGCCACTTAAAGCTGTGCCCCTTCATCTCCGATCAGAGAAACACCGGGAAGATCCTACATGAAAAGAGAGAGCGAAGTAAGAGTGGCTCATTCTACACTTTTACTTTGAAAATGACTTTTTAAACTCTAAGCCGATATTTGAGAAAATAATTTAGTGACAAAAAAACAAGTTTACAACCTCCCCAAACATCTGCAGCCTCCACCTGTTGGACTTGGATAGAACCCTACTGTCCCCAATATGCAGTGATTGGTGTAAACTGGGGTCAAATGTGGATCTATACATGTTTTTGTGAGATAGAAGATACAATTCTACAGCACAATCTTCAGAATTTATTTGAATCAAA